TAAAAGTATGACGACAGACTGGTATTTGGAAAAGGAGAATCCTGACAATCTGGCAGTTCCCATGGAGATCTACCAGGTCAGCATACCACATCCCCTTGTACCAGACTGAAACAATGAGGGGCAATGAACACCCTCCATCTCAATCCTGCAAAGTAGAAGATGAAGACCTTTCAGGGGAGGAAAGGCACCACAGCATCCACTGCTTCCATTACAGAATCCCTGTATCTGGAGACAAACCTCTTCAGTTTGCTGTTGAACCTAGCAAGGAGGTTTCCACACCTTCGACCTCTGGGTGTAGGGTCCACTCCCCTGGGTCCAGGTTCCCCCTGGTTGAGGAAATCTGCATGCCAACTGTCTATGCCTGGATTGTTCTGGAATTGGCAAGGCTGGAATATGAAGTTCTGCCCAGGACAGGATCTCATCTGTTTTGCTGCAGTGAGACTTCTGCTTCCTAATACCTCCATGGTGTTCAACTGAATCCAGATTGAATGACCCTCAAAGCAAGGATGGTACAACATTGCCAAAAGCCCCAGAATGCTGATCAGGAATTGAGATCCTTGAATAAACAAGTCCGACCGCACCAACAGGGTGCCCGGATTCCTCACCAGGCTGGTGTCTGGTTATGAGTATCATCCAAAAGATGGGAAGGATTTTCACAACTACAGAGCTGGATACCTGAGCAACTAAGCCAGGGACAACCTGCTCCTCAAAAAAAACCCAAAACAATCTGACCAGAGACTAGACCAACGTGTCTTACAATGACAAAATTTAGCATTGTAGAAGTGTGAAGTTCCTTCTGTGGAAAGAACACATTTACCTGAGCTGAATACAGTACTGGACCTAGATATTCCAAAAAATTAGTAGTTTCCAGCAGCGATTTCTGAAATATCCATCTGAAGCGCTTCAATATTTAGACCATCAAACACTTTGTTTGACAAAGCCCACCCCATCTATTTCTTCACCAGGAAGTTATCAACATATCCTAAAATAGGGGAGCACAACTAGGCTTGTACTGGGGTGGGCATCTTGACAAATACCTAAGGTACAGATGGCAGGCTGAGAGGAAGGCCAATAACTGGTAGTAGAAATCCCCAAAGCATAGGAATTGCATAGAAATTGATGATGCGATGTACAGGTGAAACTCAAAAAATTAGAATATTGTGCAAAAGTTCATTTATTTCAGTAATGCAACTTAAAAGGTGAAACTAATATATGAGATAGACTCATAACATGCAAAGCAAGATAGTTCAAGCTGGGATTTGTCATAATTATGATGATTATGGCTTACAGCTCATGAAAACCACAAATCCACAATCTCAGAAAATTAGAATATTGTGAAAAGGTGCAATATTCTAGGCTCAAAGTGTCCCACTCTAATCAGCTAATTTAGCCATAACACCTGAAAAGGGTTCCTGAGCCTTTAAATGGTCTCTCAGTCTGGTTCAGTAGGAATCACAATCATGGGAAAGACTGCTGACCTGACAGTTGTGCAGAAAACCATCATTGACGCCCTCCATAAGGAGGGAAAGCCTCAAAAGGTAATTGCAAAAGAAGTTGGATGTTCCCAAAGTGCTGTATCAAAGCACATTAATAGAAAGCTATGTGGAAGGGAAAAGTGTGGAAGAAAAAAGGTGCACAAGCAGCAGGGATGACCGCAGCCTGGAGAGGATTGTCAGGAAAAGGCCATTCAAAAGTGTTGGGGACTTTCACAAGGAGTGGACTGAGGCTGGAGTCAGTGCATCAAGAGCCACCACACACAGACGGATCCTGGACAAGGGCTTCAAATGTCGTATTCCTCTTGTCAAGCCGCTTCGACAACAAACAACGTCAGAAGCATCTTACCTGGGCTAAAGAAAAACAGACCTGGTCTGTTGCTCAGTGGTCCAAAGTCCTCTTTTCTGATGAGAGCAACTTTTGCATCTCATTTGGAAACCAAGGACCCAGAGTATGGAGGAAGAATGGAGAGGCACCCAATGCAAGATGCTTGAAGTCCAGTGTGCAGTTTCCACAGTCTGTGTTGATTTGGGGAGCCATGTCATCTGCTGGTGTTGGTCCACTGTGCTTCATTAAGTCCAGGGTCAACGCAGACGTCTACCAGGAGATTTTGGAGCACTTCATGCTTCCTTCCGCAGACGAGCTTTATGGGGATGCTGACTTCATTTTTCAACAGGACTTGGCACCTGCCTACACTGCCATAGCACCAAAACCTGGTTCACTGACCGTGGGATTACTGTGCTTGATTGGCCAGCAAACTCGCCTGACCTGAACCCTGTAGAGAATCTATGGGGCATTGCAAAGAGAAAGATGAGAGATATGAGACCGAACAATGCAGAAGAGCTGAAAACCGCTATTGAAGCATCCTGGTCTTCCATAACATCTCAGCAGTGCCACAGGCTGATAGCTTCCATGCCACGCCGCATTGAGGCAGCAATTGCTACAAAAGGGGCCCAAACCAAGTACTGAGTACATATGCATGCTTATACTTTTTAGAGGTCAGATATTGTTCTATGTACAATCCTTGTTTTATTGATTGCATGTAATATTCTAATTTTCTGAGATTGTGGATTTGGGGTTTTCATGAGCTGTAAGCCATAATCATCACAATTATGACAAATCACGGCTTGAACTATCTTGCTTTGCATGTAATGAGTATCTCATATATTAGTTTCACCTTTTAAGATGCATTACTGAAATAAATTAACTTTTGCACGATATTCTAATTTTTCAAGTTTCACCTATACATGCAAGTAAGAATTATTTATATCCAGAGAAGCAATGTCATCTCCCTGGTGAAGGGAGGGGATGACAAATTAGGAGGACTAATTTCTGAGTTTGGATAAAGACATCTGGGGCTTTGAGATCCAAGACGGGTTGATGACCTGTCTGGGAACAGTAAAGTGGCTGGAGTAAAACTCTGATACTGCACTGCTTAGGAACTGGGGCAGTGACAATTCAATCCACAAGACCTGAGAGGGCACAATGGGGATCTGCCTATCTTGCGGTGAAGCATTAAAGGTTGAAGGTGCAAAATCTGTGAGGGGGCAGGGATCGAAACTCCAGTTTGTAGTCCAGCGATATCTCCTGCATCCATCCAAGCACCTGAGATGCAAGCTAAGTGTCTGCAAAGGTTAACAAATGTTCCCCCTACTCTGAAATGTGGGGGCTCAGCTTCATACAGAAAAAGGTTTGTCTGAGAATTTGGCAGACAATTTGCGCCAGACTTTGACAGGGGCCAAGTTTGGGGGAGGAAAAAACAACAAGTTGGTCAGGGGAATGAAGTAAAGGGACAAGAATGTTCTGTTTGTTGGGTGATGTGTGCTCTTGCACCAGTAGCAACTTTGATGATCTTTCTAAGGAGCATGTCTGAAGAGACGCTGTCCCACAAAAGCCAAGCAGAACAAACACTTCTTACAAAAGAGTTTTGCACTTTTCAACCTGAAATGAAGACAAACATTTTTTGTTTTATCCAGCTGTATTTACTCAGTGCAACTTCCAACATTAACATCCAAGTGAAAGATAGAACACCAACATGCCATAAATAAAAAAAAAATATAATTATTGAGTTGGAAAAGGGACCACCTTTTGCTTTAATTACAGCCTTTAGTCTGTTGGGATATGTTTCTACTACCTTTGCACATCTAGAGTTTGCAATATTTGCCCACTCGGCAGAACTGCTCAAGTTCGGTTAAATTTGATGGTGACCGTTTGTGGACTGCAGTGTTCAAGTCATTCCACAGAAGTGTGGGCTCTGACTTGGCCAAGCAAGGACATTCACCCTTTTCTTCTTCAATCACTGTGTGCTTTGGGTCATTGTCATGTTGAAAGGTAAACCAACTTCCGATCGACAACTTTCTGGCAGAGGGCAGCAGATTTTCCTCAAACATTTGATGGTATTTTGCCCCATCCATTTTTCCTTCTATCCTGACAACTGCTCCAGTCTCTGCTGCAGAGAAACACCCCATAACAGGATATTACCACCTCCATGCTTTACTGCAGGAATGCTGTTATTTGGATAGCGAGCTGTACTGCATTTTTGCAGGACATAGTGTTTGATGTTGAGGCCAAATAATAAAATTTTAGTCTCATCTGACCACAACACCTTTTTCCATACGGCCTCAAAATCCGCAAGGTGCATTTTGACACAGCTCAGTCGTGGCTGCATGTGGCCTTTTTTTTTTTTTTGAGGATTGGCTTTTTTTTCTTGCAACCCTCCTATACATGCCATATTTGTGGATAATGTCACATGCACACAGTGACCACGCTGTCGTAAATTCCTGCAACCATTTTAGAGTTGCTGTAGACCTCTTGGTAGCCTCTCTTTCCTCTTGGCTTCTTCGTCCAGTTTGGAGCAATGTCCAGATCCAGGGAGGGTCTGCGTTTTACCAAATACCTTAAACTTATTTTATTGAGGAAAAAAAAAGAAAAATGTTACATAGAACACTACGATATATTGGCAGACTTTATTCAGCACGCCCAAACAGCTGCTGTCTATACAGATATACACTATGGTGTCCGTTTATGACACACAGAATAGCTGAGATTCAGAGGATCACAGCTATTCTCTGGTCATTCACAGTTTATAACACCCAGGAGAATATGGCCAGCCCTTCTCTGGAGATCTGTGTTCTCCCTCCAGATTCTCCAGCCCAGAGCTGGAGAATCGGAGGGACCAAAAACTAAGCAGAGATAATTTACCTCTGCTTAGTAAACTGATCTTTTACTGTAATCTCGCGAGATTATAGTAAAATCAGCCGTTTTCCAGAGTTTGTAGACCGTTCTCCAGCGTTTGGAGATCGTTCTCCCTTCGTTCGGAGAACTGCTTCATAAACTGCATTCACAGGAGAACTGTGTTCTCCGAGAATGCCGGAGAACTGAGCAGCGATCTATTACCACTGGTTCATAAACGGACACCTATATTGCCAAAAGTATTGGGACACCCCTCCAAATCATTGTTCCAATCAGCTCCATGGCCACAGGTGTATAAAATCAAGCATCTAGGCATGCAGACTGCTTCTACAAACATTTGGGAAAGAATTGGTCGCTCCCAGGAGCTCAGTGAATTCAAGCATGGTACCGTGATAGGTTGCCACATGTGCAATAAGCCCATCCGTGAAATTTCCTTGCTACTAAATATTCCACAGTCAATTGTTAGTGCCATTATAACAAAGTGGAAGCAACTGGGAATAGCAGCAACTCAGCCACAAAGTGGTAGGTCACTTAAAAAGAGAGTGGGGTCAGTGCATGCTGAATCGCACAGTGCGTAGAAGTCACCAACTGTCTGCAGAGTCAATAACTAAAGACCTCCAAACTTCATCTGGCCTTCAGATTAGCACAACAGTGCGTAGAGAGCTTGATGGAATAGGTTTTCATGGCCGAGAAGCTGCATCCAAGCCTTACATTGCAAAGCATCGGATGCAGTGGTGTAAAGCACTGCATCGGATGCAGTGGTGTAAAGCACGCTGCCACTGTAATCTAGAGCAGGGGAAACGTGATCTGGAGTGACGAATCGCGCTTCTCTGGCAATCCGATGGATGTGTCTGGGTTTGGTGAAGGGTGGGATTATAGTGTGGGTTTGTTTTTCAGGAGTTGAGCTTGGCCCCTTAGTTTCAGTGAAGAGAACTCTTAAGGCGTAAGCATACCAAGACGTTTTGGACAATTTCATGCTCCCAACTTTGTGGGAACATTTTGGGGATGGCCCCTTCCTGTTCCAACATGATCACACATCAGTGCACAAAGCAAGGTCCATAAAGACATGGATGAGTGAGTCTGGGATGGAGGAACTTGACTGGCCTGCACAGAGTCCTGACCTCATTCAGACAGAACACCTTTGGGATGCATTAGAGCAGAGACTGAGAGCCAGGCCTTCTAGTCTGTCATCAGTGCCTGACCTCACAAATGTGCTGCTTTAAGAATGGTCAAACATTCCCATAGGCACACTCCTAAACCCTGTGGACAGCCTTCCCAGAAGAGTTGAAGCTGTTATAACTGCCAAGACAGGGATGCCATGTGCATGTAACGGCAGGCGTACCAATACTTTTGGAAATATACTGTATGTATATGAAAGAACAAGAAAACAAACAAAATAAGAAACACAAAATAGCATCCTGGAGTGATTATTATACAATTACAAGGATATTAAATATCTAATAAGATATGTCAAATGACTCATTTAAAACACTGAGAACCAACTTCGCTGCCTTCCCAGGTCTCAACTGTCATGAAGCCTCTGAAACAAAGGCAAAATGCAAAATCCAGATCCCTCCTTGTAGCAATCTAGTAAGAATAAGTTGTGGGGGAGCTACACCAGGGGTTTCCAACCAACATTGCCAGATACTCAAATTTCTTTTGTGAATTTCTGTGATAAGTGTTTTTTTTTTTCCCCACATAAGAACGACATTAAACCTTCCACTTCTTAACCACTTGACCTCCAGAGGATTTACCCCCCTTAATGACCAGGCCTCTTTTTGCTACTCGGCGCTGTACTAATTCAACTGATAATTGCACGGTCATGCAATGCTGCACCCAAACGAAATTTACGTCCTTTTTTTCACACAAATATAGCTTTCTTTCAGTGGCATTTGATCACCTGTGCGCCTTTTATTTTTCACGCCAAAATAAAAAAAAAGGCCAAAAATCTTTAAGAAAAACAATATTTTTTACTTTCAGCTATAAAAAATATATAGTAAACTCAAAGTTGGTTATAAATTTAGGCCAAAATGTATTCTGCTACATGTTTTTGGTAAAAAAAAATCCCAATAAGTGTATATTGATTGCTTTGTGTGAAAGTTATAGCGTCTACAAACTATGGTATAGATTCTGCAATTTATGCCATTTTTTTTTTTTGCTATACAGCGCTGCGCTAGTTTAACGGACAATTGCGCGGTCATGCAATACGGTACATATATGAAATTTACATCCTTTTTTTCCCCACAAATTGAGCTTTCTTTCGGTGGTATTTGATCGCCTGTGCGGTTTTTATTTTTTGTGCTATAAAAAAAAAGGCTGACAATTTTGAGGAAAAAAACCAATATTTTGGACTTTTTGCTATAAAACATGTCCAGTAAAAAAAAATGTAAAAATCAAATTTAGTCATAAATTTCTGCCAAAATGCATTCTGCGACATGTCTTTGCAAAAAAAAAAAAAAAAAAACCAATACGTGTAAATTAATTGGTTTACGTGAAAGCTATAGCGTTTACAAATGGCGGGAAAGATACTGGGATTTTTAGTTTTTTTTACACTAATAATGGCGGCAATCAGCGACTTATGGCGGCGATCAGTGACTTATGGCGGCGATCAGCGACTTATGGCGGGACTGCGGCGGACATTCTGACATTGGGGGTACTGACTTGGGGTCACTGACATCCCCAGTGACATCAATACAGTGATCAGTGCAAAAAAAAAAAAAAAAAACGCTGACACTGTACTAATGGCACTGGGGAGGAAGGGGTTAAGTTTATTTTTCAGGGAAAGGGTTATCTGTGTGAGGGGAGTGTTTTTACTAGGGGGCGGGGGGTGTGTACTGCACAGGACACCGCTGATCAGGACAGAGAAACTCTTCTGTCCCGTTCCGCTTGTCGGTAAGGACCGGCTGTGACCCGGCGACTGACATCCGCGGCTGTGATCGGCGGGACAGGTAGGGCGGCGGCGCGCCTCTACCTGTTTACAAAACATACGTTTTAAAACGTGGTTTTGCCCAGCCGTGCCGCCCTGCCCTGCCATCGTATTTATACAGTGGCTGGGCGGCATGTGGTTAATAGACTTCACTATGCTTTTAGGCATTGATAAAGGCTTTGAAATTATTTTTGTATCCATCTCCTGACTTGTGCCTGTCCGCAATTTTATCTCGGTCATCTTTTGACAGTGTCTTGCCACCCATAGTTGAGAGTTTGCTTCAGTTGCACTACCAGGGACTGAAATGCTCCAGAAAAGCTTTTCATGCTGAGCTAATCAAAATGACCACAGCAGATCACAAATGAAAGTCAAATGGCTTTCTGTGACATTGAGAAGGTGATTAGCTAAAGTTAATTGTGTTTATATGTCTTTTTTTTTTCTAGGATGGAGGTGATCCTTTTCCCAACTCAGTGATTTGGTTTTTGAATTTTAACATTTTTTTTTACATGTTGGTGTTAGATCTTTCACTTAGATTTTGTAAGTTGCACTCAGTAAATACAGCTGGATGAAACAAAAACGGTCTTCATTTCAGGCCGCAAAGCAACAAAATGTGCTTATTTTAAGGGGGGGGGGGGGGGAGGGTTGATTCTTTTCTATACCCAATGTAAGTGCTGATATGACACGCATCTGTGAAATGAGAGAAGAGACTTCCAGAAAACCATCAACACTACAGCCATCTGCTCACCATGTTCAAAAAGCAAGGGATCAACTGCAGCAGTTGTTAGAGGTCTCTCTTTTACCAGTCAGCCATGGATTGACTAAGTTAGAGCCAGGATCTGATAAAGGGCAAGACCTGCCAGCAAAAACACAGCTCTAGAAAGTGCTTAAGCTGGCCATACATGGATCGAATTTTGATCCATATGTGGCCACTGTGGTTGAACAGAATATGATATACCTTGAATGTGTGGAAGGGGGAATTGGTTCAGTTTTTTTCTTTCAAACATTAGGCTGAAAAAAAAAGAAAGAAAATGGAACCATGTATGGTCACCTTTATCGGTTCAGTTTTTAATCGCTTCCACTCCAGGCCAAAACTTTAAACCCCCAAACATTATGTATTTTTTCGACCAGATGCCCCAAAGAATAAATTGGTGGTTGTTGCATATTTTTAGGTCATATGATATTCGTGCAGTGATTTTTCAAATACACTTTTTAAAAAAAATGCACTTTAATGAATTTCAATGCACAAAAACATAATACCCACTTGTTTGGTAAAATAAAAGATGTTATGCCACGTAAATAGATACCAAATATGTCATACTTTAAAATTGAGTACACCCCTAGAATGGCACCAACTACTGTACCTAAAAATCTTCTTAGGCGAAGCTTTCAAAGCATTTACAGGTTACCAATTTAGAGTTACACAGCAGGTCTGGCACTAAAATTGCTGCTCTCGATCTGATGTTTGCGGTGATACCTCACATGTGCAGTATGATCCCCACTCACAAATGCGTGTGGGACTGACGTATCTGTTTGCCTACGCATAAAGCACAGGGGGAGGTGCCGCTTTAATTTTTTACATTTTATTTAAAACTTTTTTTTTTTCTATAAACACTGTACCTTTATATATTTTTAATCAACTTTATTGCTATTGCTAGGAATGAACAATAGCAGAATAGCATATGCCGTGACAGATCCTCTTTATAGAGAGATCTGGGGTCCCTGGCCTCAGGGTCGGACTGATTAGCTGCTTCACTGGCCGGAAACAGGCTAGTAAACAAAGTACCGAAACCAGGTGTGACAAAATCTGTGTTGCTTCTGGTTTCTGACATCACAGAAGAGGGGCAGGAACTTCTGACCCTGCCACATGGGGGTGATCACATCCTTACTGGGCCCCCGATCACTCAGGAGAGCTTGGTAAAGGGGGCAGCGGCAGAAGGAAAAGAGCCTTCTGCCGCTTGTAAAAGCGATCAGTGTGGCTGCTTACATAGTAGCGATGACCGAGATATCACTGTTCCAGTCCAAGGACATAGTACATATGGCGGACGGGAAGCAGTTAAAAACAGGCACACCTACCAAAATAGTGAGCAGCTTGTTAAGGCAGTACACTACCTCAATGAGAATAGCCCCGTGCAGCACGAAATCTTCCAAAAACAGATACAGGACTAATAAATGCTTTGTGAAGCAGCCAACTTATTATGCTTCCAATCTTTATAGTGAATGAGCTGAAAAAGAGTACAAATTAAAAGTCTGAGGCCCTAAAATGTTTAAATTTCAAAGAGTGTAAACAGAACTGGTAGAAGTAACAAGCTGACCCTTTAGTTTTAGAGCAGCGCGAACTGTATCAATAAGAGCTGAAATAGTCTCCTTTAATTTAGGAATAAAAGCAGAAAATTAAGACTCTTCATGGATAAGCTCATCAGTCAAGGACTGAGTAACTCAGAATCAGTCTATACTGCCAAAGGCTCTGAAGCTGCAGGCAAATCAGGCATAGAATATGATAAAGGTGATGGAGCGAGCTTGTGTAGCATTTGATCAGGTTTGGCTGAGTGACATGCCATGCATGAACATAGTAAAAACCACTGTCAAAAAGGAGGAGAATGAAGAACAGCCACACCTGACAGAGCTAAAGAGAATTCCGAGGAGGGGGCAGAGCCAGAAAGCAATATTACTTCAGAATGCAGACTTCAACACTAAGCACTTTGCTATCAGCTCAGAAGCCATTAGAGAGAGTGACCTGGGGGCACCTAGAGTTGCACATACTTTGACCACATGGCAGTAA